CACATCGGCACGTATCTGCACACCATGAACATGAACACCAGCATAGGAAGGAGATGGGGATGAGCTTGGAAGGCAGCAGGGTGTAAGATAGGGAAACTTCTTTCAAAACCGGCAATTTTAATATGAGATTTAGGTGATGGACACTAGTAAATACTCAGCACCCCTAATATTTCTTTAGGGATCAGGCCCCTCAACAATATGCTGACTGTGGGAACTACCAGGTTCTTCGTTCTCCTGCCATTGCTTGACCTCCCAGGAACGGGCACCTGGCCAGCCCGGGGCAGCAAGGCGATCCTAAGTGTTTAGATGATAGAAATCAGTCCGTGACAGATGGCAGAAGCTGTAGCTGTGACATTTCAGAGTTCTAGGTGGAGATATATTCTACCGTTTGGAGAACAGAGAACTTCACAGAGAGATTAAGTCTGACATGTTAAGAGAAGCTGAAGAGAGAGAGAGGTAAAAAGAGGGGTGGAGAGAGAGGGGTAAAGAAAGGAGAGGATGGGGAAAGCAAAGAGAGAGAGAGAGAAAACCGCCTGGTTCCAAGACCCAGCCACATTTTTGCTCTTTTCAATTTTGTGTTGCTTAGTTATTTTGGATTCTTTGAGCCAAGATATTTTCTTTTTGCCCAAGTTAGTTTGAGCTAAATTTCTGTTGCTTGTCGCTGGTTAGAACTAGACTACTTTTTTTTTTTAATGATGAAGTCTTGCTCTGTCACCCAGGCTGGAGTGCTCTGGTGTGATCATAGCTCATGGAAGCCTTTCAACTCCTGAGCTTAAGTGATCCTCCTCCCTCAGCCTCTCAAAGTGCTGGGATTACAGGCATAAGCCTTCCGTACCCAGCCCATGAACTACTTTTTAAGGAACTGACCTTCATTTCTCAGGCATTGCCACTAATACATGGTGAGTATTAGAGGGCTAACTCTTAGTCAAGTACGGTGGCTCATACCTGTAATCCTAGCACTTTAGGAGTCCAAGGCAGGAGGACTGTTTGAATCCAAGAATTCAAGACCAGCCTGGAGAACATAGCAATACTTCAGTCTCTACAAAAGAAAAAATGATCAGCCAATTGTGATGGTACCTGCTCATAGTCCCAGCTACATAGGAGGCTGAGCTGGGATTATCATCTGAACCCTAGAGTTTGCAGCTACAGTGAGCTACGATTGTGCTGCTGTATTCCAGCATAGGCGATAGAGCAAGATCCTGTCTCAAAAAAAAAAAAAAAAAATAGGTTGACTCTTTATGGATATTCAAACTTCTTGGCTATCAAAACTTAAATATCCCCTAAAATGTACCAAACTGCATGAGATGAGATGAGATGAAATCTCACTAAGTATACAAATCTTGCTAGTACTAAGCCTTGTAAGCAGTCCTGTAATAACTTTGTGGTGATTAATTTTATGTCAGTTTGGCTGGGCTGAAGAATGCCCAGATAGCTGGTCAAACTTTATTTCTGGGTGTGTCTGTGAGGGTGTTTCCAGAACAGATTAGCATTTGAATCAGTACTTTGAGTAAAGATCTACCCTCACCACTATGGACAGGCACCGTCCAATCCATTGAGGGCCCCATAGAAGAAAAAGGGGGCAGAAGGGTGAATTCACTCCTCTTCCTGAGCTGGGATGTCCATCCATCTTCTCCTGGAGCTCCTGCTTGTCCAGCTTTTGCACTCAGAATGGGCCTTGTGCCATGTCCTCCCTGATCATCAGGCCTTGGAACCCAGCCTGCTGTATGCTACCAGCTTTCCTTGGTCTCCAGCTTGCAGATGGCAAATCATGGGACTTTGTGGTCTTCCTGTATGCATTAATTTCTCTATGAAGCTCCTCTTATGTATGAGTGTGCTTATGTTGGCAGCACTGTACAAACAATTCAGAAATATTTCCTAACCTTGGTATATCAGTGTCTCACAGCTGTGTTTGTGTCGATGTGTGACGGTGTCTTGCTGAGCTTATATTAGAGCAAAAGTCAAGCATTACATTTCTTGTTCAACTTGGCAAGAGTGGAAGTGAAATCAGGGACATTTTAATACAACTTTGTGGGGATAATGCCATGAAGAAAATAGTAGTGTGAAAATGAATTAAATGTTTTTCTGAGGGGAGAGAAAGCATCACTGATGACGAGAGGTCAGGGCGACCAGTAATGAGCAGAACTAATGAAAACATTACAAAAATTTGTTGAAATGGTGTCAAGATCATCAGCTGACTGTGAGAAGCATAGCAGATCAAGTAAACATTGATAGAGAAACAGGAAAATTCTAACTGAAAATCTGGGAATGAGAAAGAAGGTACAAAAATGGTCCCAAAGGAGCTCACTGATGAACAAAAGCAAAGAAGAGTTGAAGCTTACCAAGACCTTTTGGAGACCCAAGAAGACATTTTGGGCTGTGCTGTCACTAGTGATGAAACATGGGTGTTCCGATACGACCCTGAAACAAAGTATTAGTGCACAGTAGAAGGCAGGTAATTCTCTACAACCAAAACAGTTCCGTCAGTCCAAATCAAGAGTCAAAATGACATTGCTAACCTTTTTTGATATCAGAGGGATTTTTCATTATGAATTTATACCAACTGGACAAGCAGGTAACGAAGTTTACTACTTGGAAGTACTAAAAATGCTGCATGAAAAAGATGAGAATGACCTGAACTTGTCACCGACAACTCCTGCCTGGCTCTTGCATCATGACAGTGCGCCAGCTCACACTGTCGGTGAGGGACTTTTTACTCAGTAAACAAATAACTGTATTGGAACATCCTTCCCGCTCACCTGATCCCTCAATGACTTTTTTCCTTTACCTGAAGAGAAAGGAAATGTTGAAAGGAAACCATTTTTGATGACATTCAGGACATCAAGGGTAATACCACAATAGCTCTGCTGGCCATTCCAGAAAAAGAGTTCCACAAATGCTTTGAAGGATGGACGAGGCACTGGGGAGCTTCCCAAGGGAGGACTTGGACTGTTGTGATATTCAGCAGCGAGGTACTATGCATGTAGCACTTTTTCTAAGATGAGCTTACAAACTTAATTGCCAGACCTTGTATACACACACACACACACACACACACACACGCACACATATATGTATATTTGTTCTGTTTCTGTTTCTCATGAAAGCCGTGGCTAACATAAATTCTATACCCTCAGGTACTCAGAGAGCATCCCCTGCCCTAGCTCTTGGCTCCAGCATTTCCAACTCTGCACATTGCCTCCATCAACCTCTCTCTCAAAGTTGTATCCTGGACACCCAAGCCGGCCTCTGCCACCTTGCACATGAGGGTGTGAACTCTTCTGGCCTCTCCCATGCTGAGCTGCATCTTTTTGTCACCACTAATTACAGCAGCCCACATTCTCTTTCTACGTGAAGTTTTGATAAACAGCACCTCTTAATCAAGGCCATATAGTTGAGTCCAGGACAGAGATTTCAGGAATCTCTGAGGGACTGCTATACACACTGAGAAAACTGCCTTGTAGAAATGTGGTCCCCAACCCTGGGCCATGGACTGGTACTTGTCTGTGGCCTGTTAGGAACAGGGCTGCACAGCAGTACGTGAACAGCGGGACCAGCTAGTGAAGCTTCATCTGTGTCTATAGCCACTCCCCATTGCGCTCATCACTGCCTGAGCTCTGCCTCCTGTCACTTCAGTGAGGGCATCACACTCTCATGGAAGCTCCAACCCTACTGTACACTGTGCATGTGAGGGATCTAGGTTGCATGCTCCTTATGAGAGTCTAATCCCCCCACCCCTTGTCCACGGAAAAATTATCTTCCATGAAACCAGTCCCTGGTGTCAAAAAGTTGGGGACCACTGCAGTAGAATACCAGAAACTCAGGCGACCCTCTAGCCCACCCAGCAGGCTCACTCTTACATCTGCTCATGTTTTCAAAACTGCAAAAAGGGTTTCAGCCTAGGTCCACTTGCTCCTTTCACAAAGATCCAATTATCGAGATACCCAGAGTTGCCAAGGAAGATAGGAATGTTTCGGAAACAGACGCTTTGTTGGGAGAAGGGGAGTAGATGCCTTAAATCCGTCTCCCTGATCTCCTAATCTCCATCACGGGCTTTTAAAAGAGTGGCCTCCTTGGGGCAGGTTGTGGGGGATGGTGAATTTGGAGGTCTGTAAGTCTTCCCAGAGGCCTTCAGAATCTCAGCTCCTTTGTTCTACAGAACATCCACCATTTCTAGGAAATAACTCAGAAGGTCAAATAGTTAAGGGGGAAAATTATTAAAAACCATATAGGAATCATTGAAATTTGTTCAGAGAGCAGGTTACACTCAGACAGCACAGCTCCTCTTCTCTTCTTATTAAGTTGGAAAGAATTTCAGGGAAGGTGTTTCTGTAATTCCTGCAGAAAAGCCAGTTGTGCGTTTAACACTCTCTGTTTGAAAGTTTTCCTCGGGGTCGCCTGTAACTCCTCGCTGCTCCTTACCTAAACCTTTTGGTTTCATTTTAATTCTTTGGTTTAATCCATTTACTCCTTTCATTCCTATTTTCCCGCAGAAATGGAGACATCCCTGTTTCATCATCCTTTCTTCCTTCCAGCCTTATGTGGCTGCCACTCTGGGCCCTACTATGTGTTAAGTGCTCATTTCTGTCCTGGAATTCAAGGGAAAAAAGGATAGTACTAAGGACATAGATCATTTTGGTGATCTATAAATAAAACAAAAATTTCGTTTTTCTTTCCCTTCTTCCTCTTTGCTCATGTCAGAGATGACAGCGCCTCCCAGATTCTCTGCTCTCTGCCCCGGGTTCATGCTGGGCAGGGTCTTGGGTCCAGGATTCATTCTGGGACAGTGTTCTGTGACAAGGCAGTGTGCCAGCTCCCCCCCTCCCAAGCCCTGCTTCTCCTGGCAGGTCACGCTGATCAACAGACAGGGCACTTTGTGGCTAGTTAAAAAAAGGCGAGGACGACGAAGGCGGCACTGGGTAATTGTGCTGGAGAGCTTGGGCCATCCTAATGATGAAAGGCAGAGTGCAGACTCTCACTTCCCCTTCCTGCTCAGGGCAGGCTGCCGTGCCAGAGCCACAGCTGTCCTCACTGGAGAGCCTGAAGCTAACATGGATCAAGAAACTGTGGGCAGTGTTGTCCTCTTGGCCATCGTCACCCTTATCAGCGTGGTCCAGAACGGTAAGGGAAGCCCCTCACTTCGGAAGCATCAGAAGGATAGATTTTGTCTAATGATTGTTTGGAGGTCAGGCTTAGGGAGGTGTGTGTGTGTGTCTGTGCATACACGTATGCACACCTTTGCCTTGTCTCTAATTTTTTTTATTTGAATGTATATAGATGTGTGTATTTCTGAGAATTTGGGCTTTTCTTCCTCCTGGTTTTTCACTTTAGAGCTGAGGACTAGTCCCAGTCACAGAGTCAGGGAGGCAACTTGAGCTTTGTCAAAACACTGAAGTGTCTACAGTCAGCATTTTAAATTTCTTATTTTGTTGTTTTTACTTTTAGAAAGGATCTTACTCTGTCACCCTGGCTGGAGTGCAGTGGGACCATCTCAGCTCACTGCAGACTTGAACTCCTGGGCTCTAGCGATCCTCCTGCCTCAGCCTACTGGGTAGTTGGGACACTGCAGGTGTCCACGACCACACTGGCTAATTTTTTAATATCTTAAATCCCTGGCCTCAAATGATTCCTCCTGCCTTGGCCTCCCAAAGTGCTGGGATTACAGGTGTGAGCCACTGTGCTTAGCCATAACCAACATTTTAACTATTAATTAATGTGGCCTGGGAAGGAGGGGATGGCCAGGAGCCTGGAAGGATGACATGAGACCCAAATTCACTCAGACACTTATCTGCAGGGCAAGCGAGGTTACCAGTTGGTCATTGCACGCTTATAAAAAAGAAGAATTTGTGAGAGGTGAAGGAGAAATCACCTTATTTTTCTTCTGTATTGCTCTTTTCTTTCTTTTGGAGGAACATGATTTTTGTAATAACTTCTTTTTCTCTAGCAATGTGTAATTTTCAGAGGATTTTTAATTCATTAATATACTTACTAAGAGAGACGGAGAAAGGAAAATCTTTTTAGGGCTTTGCATGTCCAGTGCAGTAAATCTGGGTATCTGCAGATCTGACAAAGGCAGAAATGTGCACAACTACCTCCTTAAAGTCCCGAGTTAGGACTGCCTCAGACTGGTTTTATAAGTCTTTCCAATGGCTTGACATGATAGTTTATTAAGATGGAGGAAAAAGGAGGGGGAAGAATTACCGAGGGCAGTTGCTATCACTTGGTGGCAATTACTGAACATTGCCTCTGTCACACTTTGGACCTTTGAGTATTTAATCACTTTGGGATGTCCTGATAGTTCCCTTCATCTTGCGTGTGGATGGATGCTGGGAATTTAGCCTTCAGGGCACAGAACTGGGCTTCCCAGGGGCCTTCCGCACCAGGGAGGCCCAACTTTGCACGTAAAGTCCAAAAGTTTGTGGGCTTCTGACCCAAACATTTCTTTACCAGACCAAACACCATGGAGTTGCAGCTCAGAGAGGGAACAAATAGCTTATTTCGGCTGTCATTCTTCACACCATTGTTATTTTATACAGAGCTTCCTTGGCTCTGGAAACTGGCAAGGGATTCCAACCTGCACCCCCCCCCCTACAGAGCCCCTGTCTGCTCCAGGCAAGGTCCTGAGCCCATGGGGATAGAAAATCATACAAGACGGCTGTGATTCCTGCCTTCAAGGAGAGGAAAGGTCAACCTGAATGACCCAGCCCATCTCTGCAGAGGCAGTTGCATGGGTGGGTGGGTGGGCAGCACTCGTGTAGCTCTGGGTGGGGTCTTCCCTTTGGCTCTTCCCCCATACTCCTGTATTTTAACTTAATATAACATTGGTGGACAGGGGTCCTCATGCCCTCTTACCGGCTTATGCAATGGGGACTGAGTGCAGCTGGGGGCTGGAATCTATTCTCTCTGGCCTGCTCTTAGCACAAAGCCTAGGTGGACAGCCACAGAGCTCTCTGTTGCGAGGACAGAGTCTCTTCACTTCTGCTAACTGAGATGCCCTAGAGGCCTGGCCTTGGTATGTCCCGAGAACTCTGGGCTTTCCCACAGTGGTCTAGCACACCCTGACCAGACTTGAGGTGGGTAGTAAGGTTTCTGATTATTTTTGGAAGACAGGACCAAGTCTTCTTCTGTGGTACAAGTGGGGAGAAGAGGTGGGATTAAAGATGGCCAAGTGTCTGAGTCTTGACAACCACAATCTGAAGATCTAGACCACTGGTTCATCTAAGCCCAAGAACTGGAGGTTGCTGTGAGCTGTGACGCCACAGCACTCTACCAAGAGTGACAAAGTGAGACTCTGGCTCTAAACAAACAAACAAACAAACAAAACCTTGGAAAAAGTTGGGAGATAGTGCCCTACTTGTTTTCAAGGGTGAGTTTTTGGGCAATCTCAAAGATCCATATTTGCAATTCTAATTAACCTCAGTGTTGCCACCATCGGCCTACCTTGCAGAGTTTAAAAAAAATATGCAAAGTCTGTACCTTTCTTCCCTCACACCTCAAAGTGCTATTCTGAACCCTTCCTGTTAGTTTTGAAAAATATTTCCATGTTGTTACCAGGTACTGCATACTGTGTCCCAAGACAATGAGGTTTAGTTCCACACACGGCCAGCATGGGGTTGGGCTCTGCTCTCTTGGTAAATGACATGAGCCCAATTCCCTGGGGGTAGGTAGAGCTGGTCTGCCTGGTTCAACTTCCTTTTTGGCCTTTCAAACACTTGTCAGTCATCAAGACCTTTGAACATGTGGCCCTCTTCCAGTTCCATCCAGCAGAATGGAGATTTGGAAAAACAGAACACAAGTTTAAAATGCATGGTTTTAGGCTTGGCTCTCCATAGCACAGTGGTTACGGAGCCAGCCACATACACCAAGGGTGCCGGGTTGGAACCTGGCCCGGGCCAGCTAAGCAACAATGACAACTGCAACAAAAAATAGCTGAGCGTTGTGGCAGGCACCTGTAGTCCCAGCTACTTGGGAGTCTGAGACAAGAGAATCTCTTAAGCCTGAGAATTTGAGCTTGCTGTGAGCTGTGACACCATAGCATTCTCCTGAGGGCAACATAGTGACACTCTGTCTCAAACAAACAAACAAATAAATAAATAAATAAAATAAAATACATGGTTTTAAGAAACCTGGACCAAATCTATCAAGGCCAGCTTCCCCTGGAGCACAGAGAGATGTAATGCCTATGAGTAGCAGGCAGAGTGCCTCCACCCTCTCTTGCCCAGGAGGTGCAAACTTGGGGAACACACTGTACTCCGAGAAGGTGGTTTTCATAGGAAACCATGCTAAAAAGATTAGGAGGAGACAAGAGCCTCAGGGAGGGGCTTGGGTTGCTGAGCCCAGGTAGTGATGGTAGGAGAGGGGTGTCCACTCTGGCTGGGGGAAGGTGGCAGGTGTCAGCATCATCCTCTCTCCACCAGGGGAAGAGACCTTCTCCAAGTTTCCTTTGGGGATATCAC